GCAATTACAAAGATAATTATTAACAAATAAATAGGCCAATTTACATATTACATGGTTAACCATGAACAAGTGCATCAAATCCTTCCAATGATTGCTAAGCCAGAATCCATCTTCTCGGTTGAAATTGTCTCTGTGTTTGTATATGTGGATAGCCTCATGAACAAATCTCTCATGGTAGCCAGATGGCTTGCAAAGAACCTCTGTCTTGGAGAAGTCAATGTCATGTGAGCCTACTGAATTATAAGAGTGATCTGCCACGGCTGAGGTGTTGGTCCTACCGTGTTTAAGGTCTGCTTTGTGTTCACGAATGCGGTCCGAGACGTCGTTTGGTTTCTCCAATGTAACTACTACCACAGAGGCAACTTAGTTTGTAGACACCAGGGTACTGTACGTCCGGAATCACATCTTTTACAGACGGAACCAGATCACGGATTTTATGTAATGTGTTGAAACGGACCTGGATCTTGTGTTTATTCAAGATTTTGGAGATCTTTTTAAACACGGTAGGACCAACACCTCTGCCGTGGCAGATCACTGTTATAATTCAGTAGGCTCACATGACATTGACTTCTCCAAGACAGAGGTTATTTGCAAGCCATCTGGCTACCATGAGAGATTCGTTCATGAGGCTATCCACATATACAAACACAGAGACAATTTCAACCGAGAAGATGGATTCTGGCTTAGCAATCATTGGAAGGATTTGATAAGCCATTTCGGGTCTTAATTGATTGTTCACGCTTACGGTGGCTTTCAGACAGCATACATTAATTTTTCGTCTCCCCCCTCCTCTTTTCTGAACATAGATGGACTTGTCCATCTAAACAAACTGTCAAATCGCTCTCTGTGGTGCTAACGTTTAAAAATAAATCAATACAAACCGCCACTTCTTTCAAATGTTCTTGCCGTTGGTTTTCACACCTGATGATGACTGCTTGCGTTGCAGTCGAAACGTCGTGAGAATTTTATTGTTTTATATATTTTTTCTTATTTTATTGTTTCCCTTCAACGTGACTTTACTGAAAGAACCAATAATATGAATCACTGCAGTCACGAAAGCTTTAAATAAAAATTTTAAACATGAACAAGTCGTTATTGAGTCGCACTCATGATGATTTTCGCAATCTATCTTGTTCTAATAAATAATACCACCACTGCTATTTAGGCCATAATGTGCCTTTGTAGCCTCTCCTGCACGGTCATTCTCAATCGGCCAGCTGAAACAAATACTGAAATCCAATGAAAGGCACATAACTCTGTGGCATTTCTGCAATGGTTTATTGTACTTGGATACAAATCTTGGATACTGTGTGTTGTGGGATCCTGTGTGTGTGAATGCAGAGTAGGGAGCGCGAACCTGAAACAGAATGATGCTGTCAAACAGCAGGTTGGCCTGGGCTTTGCTTATATCGGCGTGAGCATTCATTACAAAGATATCAGGAACAGGATTAATAGGCAGTGTCTTTATGTATTCCACTTAGCTGCTGGATTAAAATCACAAAAAGAAGAGTCAAATATATCACACTTTTGAGACACGTAAATGTATCAGTCAGTAAGGAGTACATGTTTTGCCCATGGCCCTCAAATAAAAAAAGCTCCATTAAAATGTAAAAAGTCCTTATGAGCCAACGACAAATGATTGTACAAATTATACATAGTTGTTTCGATTACCGTAATACTGCACATTTGACTAGTTCAGCTTTTTTGGTGAAGCACTGCTCTAATCTCCAAATTGATTTTAAGGATTGTAAATGTATTTGTTGGAAATATCACCAGGCTCTTCACTTTAAATCCGCTCGAATTAAATATTTTGTTTAAATCATTAGCAACAGGCAATTCATCCAGAAAAAAAAAACATAAGACTGTTGGTTACCTGCATGTCAAAACAAAATAATTAACGAGAGGAAAGCCAGTCTGTTGTGTAACGCAGCAGTTTTCAATCTGTGGTCCGCTGACCCCTGGTGGTCCGCAAGGCTACTACGTGGGTCCTCAGAAGATAAGAAATAATAATATCCTCCCCAAGGAAATGTACAGTTTCAAATAACTACTGCAGTAACATGTGGTGGTTCGCAACATGTTTGGAGGTTGAAAAGGGGTCCGTACACTCGAAAAGGTTGGGTACCGCTGATGTAGAGTATATGGTGAATTCCAGTAGAACAGATTCATAGAATGGGACATAGAACTTGATATCACAATTTAACATAGGCATATTTTTCTCTTTCATATTTTCTAAACTTCTACACAGCAGGTCCGTGCATTGACGAAGACAGCCCATTTCACTGCAGTGTCTAACATGTCTGCACTGTCCTTGTAATCCGATTATAATTAAATTACCAATATGTTTTGTAAACGAATTTGTGAATGTAGAAGTACATATATAAGGAAGGTAAAAATCTACCTGCACAGGTTAGGTCACAGGGATGTCGCCACAATTATTCACACTGGAGAAAAGGAGTGCACTTCATGCTTTAATTACAGCATTCTGTAATGCACAAATGATCACCAACAAAGTGTGATAATTATACATGGAACAAAACTTCATGGCTATAGTGTTCTTAGTTTCATGGCATTTAAAAACGAACATGGCAAGGGTATTAAATTAAACAGGCCACTAATTGCAGACAGTGTTCAAGTCAATCGGTGAAAATCACTATTTTGCTGAAAGCTTTTACTGAAGTAATTACACACGATAATGACGTATCCTGGGGTCATGACGTTAGCCATTTAAATTAAAATCACAGCCGCAGACGTACTAAATCTTCATATCAAGATAATGGACTGAATTAGTAGTGTGGGAAAAGTGTGAATGTAATATTGAATGAAAAGTGAGATTTGAATGTAATGAACTTACTGCCCCTTTTGTGTGAAAGTGAACGTGCGTGTAAGCATGCAAGTGTATGTGCTTGGGTGGCATAGGGGTAAACGCACTGTGCAGGGGTCCTAGTGACTGGTTCGATTCCTAAAAATGTAAACCTTTGAAATATGGGGCACTGTGTGAACTAGTTCTCATAGGTGGCTTTGACACAATATGAATCCCTTGTCAGAGTTCTGGGATGTTCGATGTTAAGAGCACGGATGTTATGAGATTAACGTGCCTTAAAGCCCAGTCACAGTAATACACACGGTAGCGTCTCACAATTGTACAGACAATTGTACAGTTTGTCAGCAAATTAATTTGTGAAAGTATTTTTAACCGTCACTGTACACTGCCTCCAGTCAGCCTCAGACTATAATTGTATGCTGACGTGTACTGTGACTCCCCACTATCTAATTAGAAGTTCCAGAATGAACCACGTAGCTAATAACCGAAAATTGAGCACAGTGTGAGATGTGTGATGGGTTCGTTGCTTCTTCAAGGTCAGAGAAAAGGCATGTATTTAATTAAATTACAAATGATCAGGGTGCTGCTGAAATTATGATTTTTGGAAGTTTTCACTGTCTGGCTAGGTGTGTCTTATACACCTGACCGTAATAAAGGTTTTTTTTTGGGTTAGATCGCGTAAATATATAAATGTGTCGTTAAACCCACCACCACCTGACACAGACAACTAGTAAGGGTTGTCACGTAGAACAGAACGTGGCTAATTCGTCACTAGTGCAGCACACCGGTGTGTTGGAGAGCCAAGCCACAACATTTACAATCTGAGTACGACGTTTCGCCAGTAATTACAACTAGCTTCATCAGGCAACAGCCAGATTTGTGGAGAAGTCCACCTGTTTCGTTCCGACCGAGGAGACTAAGCACCAAATCGACCAGATGGCACTGGTGCAATGCTTAGTCGAAAAGTAATCCTGGTTATGATCGACTTATTGAAGTAACAGTGGTTGTCTTGTGGAATGACTTCCCCACCACGGGAATGTGAAATTTCCACAACTGGCTCAGAACCACCAACAGAAGTGATGATGATTTCCTAGCACGTATTGCATAGGAACACTTGACTTTTAGCATAATTTTTTTCATTTCGATAGCGTTTTAATGTAACTAACAAAGAGGATAACTGTCCATGAAAAAATATTAACCAAACATTTGAATAAAATAGACTGATGGACATTCGTGGTGAAAATGGTGCCTACTTCTGCGCCAGCACTTGGGACTTCTCCGAGCCATCGATGGAAACAATGAAGAGGCTGAATTACCACGAGAGCAAGTACTGGTGCATGGGCTTCAGTGGCTGCTAGGTCGGTGATGCAGAATAAAATCACAGCAGCGTGTCCTGCCACGGGGGAGTACTGGCATTGAACACAGGTCGATTTGGCGCTCAGTCTCCTCGGCTGCAGTCTGCTTCTCAGATACCTCGTCAGCGAGAAGCTGGGTTAGTGATGAGAAGCTGGGTTAGTGATGAGAGATGATTACTATCACTAACCCAGCTTCTCTCTACCTTCCATCTATTACCTGTGCCCAACTCCCCCGTCCCTCCCTCCTTGCCCCCCCCCCCTTTCTTCCTTCTCTAGCTCCGCCCACTTACTCCCTGGGGTTGAGCCCACCAAAACCCTTTATAAGCTCTTGTTGTTAGCAGATCTTTCTCCTAAATCAGCAGTTGTCCTGCTGTATCGGTTCCGCCTGATGACGGTCGCTTGTGCTGCGATCGAAACGTCGTGATTTGGTTTATTTTATTTCTACCTACGTGACTTTACCGAAAGAACCAAAGAGTATGGGGTTCAGAATTGACTGCATATTTTGAAAACAAGCCACATATGCACAGGTCCTCTAAATTTCACAGTTGTGTGATATCCCATTACCAGCACTGTGGGCTATGGAGACCTCCCATGAGTGTGAATCATTGCACAAGTTCTGAAGCCAATGAGTTCTTCTTTTAATCAAATGCGGGGGGTTGCACGATTCACACTCTTAACATGCCAGCTGCATGGTAATTCAAGGCACCATTAGCAAGAGACTATATCTGCATACCAAATAGCTCTCAGCGGCAATTGATGAACGATATCTGATGTACTACTTAAAATAGATTTATGGAAAAAAATATAAACCCTAGATTATATTGAAATACCCAATGAGTATGCTTGAATGGTGTGTTATTTTTTAAATATTTTTTTTGTTTCATATTTGTAGTGCATCCTTTAGTTTCAATTATATACATTACTAAACAATACATGTGAGTTTGTGTGCATGTACATGTGCATGTAAACCGAGCAACGTGGGTTTGACTCCTGTGCATGATGGTTAATACCAGTAGCGATGGGCATTATAAATCTGGCCTGGGCTGCCCTTTTGGTCAACGCATCATAAAATTAGTACCTGCTGAGGTGGATCACCATTTCTATTGTGGAGAATAAGATAGTCCTTTTGTGTGCTTTTTACGAGCACTTGCCCTTGCAGTTTAAAAGCCCATATGGGGGATCTTTGTCTTTGTTGGTGTGGTGTTTAGTTGGTGTAGTGTGCACACAAAAAACACGAGTACACGTGAAACATTTTTGGGGGCGCCTGTGGCGCTGCTTGCATGCCTCTTGTTGTTAGCGTTCTGTAGATTGAGTGCCTGTTTCTGCGCCTCCATATCTGGCCTCTCACGGGCCACTGTGATGCTCAACAGCTGGTCCTGCAGCCCACGAAATGTTATCATAAAGTTCACTAGCATCACCTGTGCCACACGGACAGTAGCAACGTTTCATTCACACTTGATGAGAAAGGTAGATGAGAATTATAACCAAACCAAATAACTGAACCAATGTAGCAAATTAGATGCCTGCCTTAACATGGAATCGCATGGAGACAGAAACTGGCATGTAATCACTATTAGGCAGGGAAGGCACAAGTAAACATTTGTTTAAATCTAAGGCATTAACATGTGAAAAACAATTCAATTAAGTGACGTTTGTCTCTGCAGTGTGTTGCTGCTGCTGGGCGCACACGTCTGACCTGGGCAGACGTTTCGAGCAGGTCGTGTGGGTTACTCAGGTTGGTGGTGATGTAGAAGCGAAAGTCAGCCACGTACTCAATGGTGGCGTCACCAAAGGCGCACACGCACACACTGCCACCGTGCCGGAACGTCTGCTTCAGCAGTAACGACTCCAGCACGGGATCCAGCTGCTCACCCTCATTCTCCAATAACGCCGGTGGGCTACGCAGCCACACGCACACACACACACGTGTCAAGTGGGTTGATGCATCAGCTGCTATGCTGCTATTAAATACAATGGTAGCAAATAGAGGTGTAATGAAGCATCAATTAAGATTTCTTCTTATGCTGACGATACATGCATCAAATCGTGCATACTAAGAATGATTATGTATTTGTATACATTGTGTGTGTTAGGTTAATGTGGCTCCTACTGCTGCTGGAAATAAGCTTTTGTTTGTATGTTGAACTTCTTTTGCACCATATATTACAACCGTGCTAATCAGAGGAAAATAATTGATATATATCCGATTCTTGAATCGAATCGTAACCCCGAATTGACAATTCATGTATTTGCTAAGGTTGATCATCAGTGGCCAGCGATGTGCATAGCTACATAACGGTGAAATTATATAGTACAGGTCAGGCGGGCAGTGAAAAATTGAAGCCTGCTTTCTTTCTCTAGGCCATATAAATATGATTATAATTGATCAACTGGTTTACAAAATTCTGTCACTAGCGGGTAAAATTAAGTTGCTCATTAAATTGCTCCCTTCTGGCTCGAGAATTGTGAAGCATGTCATCCAGGCAAGATTCTAAATTAGTTGATCTTAAATTTTGATTTAAAGCTTTCGTGACTGCAGTAATTCATATTCTTAGCTCTTTCGGTAAAGTCACGTTGAAGGGAAACAATAAAAATATATATAAAACAATAAAAATTCTCACGACGTTTCGACCATAACACAAACGGTCGTCAGCAGGTGTGTCGGTTTGCATCAATTTATTTATTTATTTTAAAACGGTTTCAACACATTACATAAAATCCGTGATCTGGTTCCGTCTGTAAAAGATGTGATTCCGGACATACAGTACCCTGGTGTCTACAAACTAAGTTGCCTCTGTGGTAGTAGTTACATTGGAGAAACCAAACGCCATGTCTCGGACCGCATTCGTGAACACAAAGCAGACCTTAAACACGGTAGGTCCAACACCTCGGCCGTGGCAGATCATTGTTATAATTCAGTAGGCTCACATGACATTGACTTTTCCAAGACAGAAGTTCTTTGTAAGCCATCTGGCTACCATGAGAGATTCGTTCATGAGGCTATCCACATATACAAGCATAGAGACAATTTCAACCGAGAAGATGGATTCTGGCTTAGCAATCATTGGAAAGATTTGATTAACCATTTCAGGTCTTAATTGATTGTTCATGCTTACAGTGGCTTTCAGACAGCATACATTAATTTTTCGTCTCCCCCCTCCTCTTTTCAGAACATAGATGGACTAGTCCTTCTAAACAAACTGCCAAATCGCTGTGCGTGGCGCTGACGTTTTTAAATAAATAAATAAACACACCGTTTAAAAATCAATTAATGCAAACCGACACACCTGATGACGACCGTTTGTGTTATGGTCAAAACGTCGTGAGAATTTTTATTGTTTTATATATGTTTTACTATTTTATTGTTTCCCTTCAATGTGACTTTACCGAAAGAGCTAAGAATATAGTTGATCTTATTTACAATATCACTATCAATTATTAAAAGAGCTTGCTTATTGATGCAGGAGCATAAGCTACTGACCTGACTATGACACCGTTATTTGTGGAGAAACTGTGAAGAAGGCAGGCCAGCGATATCCCATTCTCTTATTCTCACAGGGTCAGCAAGTGTACGTACGTTTCAGAGAGCAATTGTTGGAGCATGGAATCGGTCGGTCCTTACAAATCTGCATCCACTGTGCAATTTGCACCGGAGAGCATTAATGACAAGTGAACTTCAAGGGAAGGAGCTCAGAAGTGGGTTTTAAATTGAGCATATTTCATTACTATTCTGAATAACACCAACATTTTTATAAAATAAATCTTTGAATCTTACTCTATTTAAAAATCCCCCAAAAATGACGAATCCATCACCAAATTTGCGATCATCATTTGTACGTGGGGCAGTGACATGGTGCATACATGTTCGCTGCTTTTTGCAGAGGCTTGCAATTTGAATCTGGCAGGTTGCCCGAGTTAATTATGTGGGTGTATAAACATAAAATGTGCTTATCTACTTCATAATGGATGTTAACGATCCTGTGATATTCGAATAGAGTTTGCAGTTGTCTGCCAGTGTAATGGTTACAAATTTAGCCAATAAAAAAACGAACTAGCCAATTAGTAAAAAAAAATAGCAATCGCCGACCCCATTGCGAAAAACTTCACAAGACTCACGAAAAAGAGTTTTGACACTCAGGGGTGCCTTTCCCCGGTAGACAAAGCTTAATCACAAAAAATAACAACTGTACAGTATAGCTATACGTGCGGCTGCCTTGGTCAGAAACAGGTCTGTCTGTCGCTGAAAGTGAAGCCGTCCGGATAGGCGATGTTGCCGGCGGAGATGAGGGCATCACCCGTAAGGTTGCCCCGTAGCTCGAGCGACTTTTGGGCAGCCTGGCTCCAGCGTGTCTTCTCCGCACCCATGGCCCCTGTCAGTACCTCCGCCCGCTGCAACTTTTTGCTGCACGTGGTGGACTGCGCACATCAATAGCACACAGAGAGTGCACCCCCCTCGGCAAGGGTGCATTTTGCATGGTCAGAGAGCCAGATATGCAGCTAAAGCATGTTGCTTATGCCCCCGTTCAAGCCCTGCTTGAACACTTTTCTCCCGTGCATATGACTGTCCCTATGAATCATCTTTATACGCACTTCTATTATACGTTTCTCAATTCCCGCTGCGGTCTGTATAATTCTATCCTTCATTGCCTGCCTTAATTAAAACATACTTTTAATTGGTATTTTTTTACATAATTTTTGCGATGGCGTCAGATGCTTTGTGAATGCAAATTCTCGTAACTAAATTGTTTTCCATTATATGAATAGGAAGGATTGCAGTGCATTAAATTCACACGGCCAATTCATTATTGTGACTGGATGACAACATTACGAGTATGGCGCTACGCGATGCGTGATGCACTTGGCAATTGACGGTTCACTGCGGTGTGACTTTGGTGCTGCGTTGGTGTGTGGCGCCCCCACCTGGTCCTCCAGCTCAGCCGTGCGCCGTTTGGTCTCATTGAGTGAGGGCCTTGATGTCGGCCACCTTGGCCTGCACCTTGCGCTGTGGGTGCTGCTTGACGTGCAGACCAGCCCATGGCTCCCTCCAAGCTCTGCCTGCGCTTCTGCCAGCGTCTCTTGCTTCCCAGCCACCACCTTGAACGCCCGGGGCGACCAACTTGAACACCCTGCACCAGAGAGTGAACTATACTCGCAAGTAAACCGTGGGGAAGAGAGCAATACGCTTACGCGTGCATTGGAATCATTTGTCAGTTATAGCCTAAAGCAATCAATTATGGCACATATGGTGGTCAATTCATAATAGACCAGTGTTAGTCAATATAGATTTAAGTAATTTCTCTAAGGTTAGAATAATCAATGATAAGCTGGCCTAATCAATTACAACCTACGATAATAAAACATTGATATATGTGTAGTGGAATAAATAGGCGCATGGGGGTAACTGGTGAGATCGCGCAGGGGGGGGCAGGCCAGTAGGGGTCATATTGGGACAAACAGGTGCGATGGTTGGGACGAAGAGGTAACGATTGGGCCAATTAAGCTGGGGAGCCAGGGACGGCTGTGATTGGCTGGTGTTGTCAGAGCTGGAGTGGCGTCTTGAAGTCTGGCGAGGTCACAGGTGCACGGGCACGAGGAGCGCCGTTGGGACGCGGGTTAATTAATTAGGGAGTAATGAGAGCGGGGATAAATTGGGGAGACTCGAGGAGAAACGGGGAGTTGGAGTCGGGGGCTGGACGAGGCAGGACGTGGAGCAGCTGAAGAGAGAAGCAGCCAGCAGTGGAGAGAGCATAGTGATAGCGAAGAGCGGAAGACAGAGACGAAGCAGTTAGCAGTGGAGAGAGCACAGTGATGGCGGGGAGCAGAGAGAAGCAGCCAGCAGTGGAGAGAGCACGGTGAGAGCGGAGAGTGGGGAGCAGAGACGAAGCAGTTAGCAGTGGAGAGAGCACAGTGATAGCGGAGAGCAGAGACGAAGCAGCCAGCAGTGGGGGAAGCACAGAGACATCGGAGCTGACGGAGAAGTGGAGATTGGAGAGACAAAGGTAGCGAGCGAGTCGAGTGAGGAATGGCGAGTGAGCTGTGACAAGGGAACTGTGGAGCATTGAGGACATGTGGAGAAATAAAGTGGTGTTGGAAGAAAGACAAGTTGTCCGAGTGAAATCAACCACTACATATGCAATAAATCAATATTTTGGAAAAAGTGAGAACATATAAAATAATTTGTTGATAGTACGACGTATATTTTTTTCTAAAAGCATTACATTTTTATCTAGATGGTTATTAAATTCGTGACTATCATAAACAGGCCACAGGTTTGTATGATTATCACAATTATGAAATGAATAACAGCATAACTCAAAATTAGTCACAGGTCATAGCTTTACAGCCGACTCAATCCACTTTGTCCCTATGCAAATTCTCCCTCTCGCCACCAACCCAGCATCTCTGTGCAATATTTTGGGAAATATTTTACCCACTTAACAGACCTTTAGCTGCCATTGACACATAACGGAACATTGCCTGGGGCCAAAATCTGTGTTGGTAATGTACTAGATGTGACAGGTGCGGGGATGTTCTCTTTGCCGTACTCATGAAGGAATCGAATGTCACCCAGCAGCTGCTTCGTCGGCTCCCACAGGTCCTCAATCTCCTTGCCAGAGCCCAACGTGGTCTGGAACACGGTCAGGCTTCACACAATTCAGGATGCAGATAAACAAAAACTTTTTTATTTTACCCAGGTAAGGCCCACTGAGCTATATATAGCTATTTTCAGAAATGACCTGACCACAAATGATAGCTAAATCCAAGTGGCTTATTGTGTGAAAGTTTATCGTAGACAGATACTCTAAAATCACGTTTCTAAATGTGGAGGTAAAAACCGGAGGACCCGGAGAAAAATCAACGCGACCACAGGGAAAACATGCCCAATCCAAATATACAAGCGTTAGGGTCGGGGATAGACCCTATGACGTCCTACATACAAGGCGAGGGAGTTAACATCTCTCCACCACGACACCCTTCCATGAGCTCCACGTAGGAGGTGGGAGTCACATAGTTGTGGCGCTGCTGCTGCTTAGCACGTAAATGATCCGGTAGCTCCATGGCAAACACGTGGAATGCATGGCACACATTCACGCAGATACTGCTGTGGCAGACCTGAGTGAATCAAGAACCATCTTGCCACCACCTGGAAGGCATCCTTCGGCCATGGCTGAATGAGCAGCAATGGGTGAGGTGGCAGAAAAAACAGGATTAGAAGGCATAGCTAACCCAAAAACGTCTTTAATGGAAAAATATTGGTCGCGAAAGCCTACGTGTTAAACAGGATTAGGTTTGGTTGCCACCTGAAAATGTACCATAATAAATAAATAAAACTACATTGCCACCACTATCTTAGCTACATTGGGTTTTCCAGAACAGAGAATTGCAAGGAAGCAAACATCCATTTATTAATGAGGGTAAATAGTCTGCATCTTTAATTACTGACTCAACAGCACTTAGTTGCTGACATTGTTCACGCCCATAATCGAGCACTTTGGAAGCAAGGTTTGGTGGATCACGTAGCTTTGTTACGCTACAAATGCACTGCCTCTAAATGGCTATGAGATAGCAGGATAGAAAATGTGCTCGTGAGCATGTTGTAGTCTCATGGACGCGTAGCTCTCCTTCACTGCGTTGAGCGGGGCTTGGCAGTCGGCCCTGGGCAGCGTCAGCAGGTCTGACACAGTGCCCTGTCCACGGGCACCACACCCATGTGCGATGGGCAGAATGGGATGATAGCGTTCGCAGCTTCAGCCTTCAAAAGTACTGAAGAACATGAATGCAAAGCTTTCTATAAATATGTGCAATGGCTTATGGAATCTTGATCCTATATAATTAATATTACAAAGTCAGTTAAACGTGGCATTCATTGTTCCCGCCTCTTTGTTGAAATATCGTGTATCTTTATTATTTTGTAGCATTTTCAACATTTGAATGTGTAACTTTTTGCTGGAGAGGACAACAACAAATGAGTGGCTCCTGAAGCAATAAGAACTAATTAAAATATTGATTTGAAGCTTTCGTGACTTCAGGAATCCATACTCTATGGTTCTTTCGGTAAAGTCACTTGGTAGAAATAGGCTGATGACGACCGCTTGTGTTGCGATCGAAACGTCGTGATTTGTTTGATTTTGTTTCTAACTACGTGACTTTACCGAAAGAACCAAAGAGTAACTAATTAAAATCCCTAAATCTGAACGTGTTCAATATATACACAAGTTACGAAGGTAATTAATATAGAGCATAAGCTTTACGAACTTAAATTAGTTTCGTAAAATATTTCAAGGCAATATCCCATAAAATAAATGTGTTATAAATGAGGGTGGCAAATCATGAGTATGAATGCACAAGTACAAAAGCACAAGTGAAATATCTAAAACAAAATAATGCAAGTGGTTCACAGTGTCCTTGTGGGACCAGTGCTGAACTTGGAAGAGAGGAATGTCGTTTGCCAGGAACTTGGGCAGGTTGACATCAATGATAGAGCGTATTAATAGGATATCCTCATCTTCCTCTGGGTATTTCAGGTAGAAAATTGAGCACACAGCTGAAGCATACTTGAACGATGCTTTTGTTTTAATATTAAAATGGTCTGCACAGCGTACTCACTGTCATTCAGAGTACACCACAATGGAGCCTCGTTCACAATGAATATACAATTATGCTCAAAATTTCTCGTCTTATCCTCTAGGTGTCTCCCCAACACGTGAAAGTGTAGCATGCACTCGAGTAGAAGACCTAATGATGCAAAACTTGCTTCTATCAGGTGAAGTCTCCCAAGCACAGAGCAAGTACTCTACGAGTGACTGTCCAACAACTTCATAGTATGTGAACAATCAAGCCAAGTGCCCTTCGGCGCTGCGCATTACGCATGAGTGCCCCACTGAATGGATGCTTGACCAGGGTAAAACCAAATAAATGAAACTGAAAAAACAAGAAACCTTGAGGCTGCCAGCAGCTACAAGCACGCTCTTGACGGCGCGCATGCCGTCGTTTTAGCGGTACTGTGAGGACAGCTGCTCCGAGCAGAAAGGGTACATGCCGACGATCTTGGCAGAGAGGGAACGTGCACGTTACAAACCGGCACGAGAAGAGTATGTTCTCAGAGATTAGCGCGTAGTCCGGCACTATCACGGCCATCGAGTGGAACAGGGCCTGAGAAGTTAGATTGCACACTTACACAGCTCCATGCAAAGCAAACCTAACTTTGTCATAGATAATTTCTATGAATTGTACAAATGTACATGTAGGACAAAATGTTCCAAACGGTAGTTTAAATTGCCTAACTTTTGCAATGTAATGGAAGTGTACGAAATTGCTGCATCTCTAGTGCAATAATGAAATGTTTCACAGCCATCAGGCTTCAAACGTCATGACAATTTACTTGAGACAGGCAAATAAAAGCAGTGAGGTGTCAAAAGTTAATGTTTTATAAAAGGGTTTTTCCCCCTTTTTTGGTACTGGCAAAGGAGGTCCAATGATGTAGATGCTTACCCCGAGCCCTCGTTACTTTGATAGTGCATTGTCTTTGAGCTGTATGCCTTTGGCGTCATCTGGTCTAGCACCAATTGAGACTAGGCTCTAAAGAAAGCCGTCTCTGGTGTGGACCAATCAGTTTCAAGGACAGTGCATCATATATTATCAGTGTTTTTTGTTTGTTTGCATTTTGACTGCAAGTATTGTGGTTAATGCAGACATGAATCCATGTAAAAAAGGTTTCAGTTTTGTTGCCAGAAAAAAGGGGGAAAAACCCTATTATTTTTTGGTACTGGCAAAGGAGGTCCAATGAAGTTAATGTTTGTTGTTTTTCTACTTCATTTCCCTACTTAACCAAGCACATGCCTAGAATATAGCACCACACTATGCAAGACACCAGAAAAGGAGGCAGTCACACCTTCAGATTATTAGCCAACTCAGAGCGTCCTGCTTCTTGATTATAAACACGGCACACGTGGGTTTCAGCTTGAGCTCTTGTCCCCTCAAAAACAAATGTGGTTCCCGTGTTGATTTGTTTGGCCACAACAGCGCAGTCGCCAGTCAGGGCACATACAGAGTTGAGGGAGTGTGTGTGTGTGATGTATGGACATTGAACTTCTTTTGCACCTTACGTAGCCAAATATGCTAATCGGTGGTGCGGGGCAGGGACAAAAAACTTAAACCCAAAAAGCAGTTTAAAAAGAACGTTAAGTTACAAACCCCGTGATTGCTTGCATACATGGAGTTACAATTTTTGATTGTATTCTTGGCTTTATCATGAAAATATATTGCCGGAACTCTAATTGAATGCACAAAAACACAAGTAAATCCATAGTGCATGGTACTGCTGCAATGTACAAGCCAAAAACTGCATTTCTGAAATGAAAACACAAAAGTATTTACATTGTGTACATATCGTGTGTATGGGTGCTTCTGAATTGTAAGGTTAAGGGAAATGTGTATCGAAATGACTGAAATGCAACGCCTCTTTAGATTTTCAGAATCTCCTGGGCCACACCTGACAGCACCTCCAGATTTATTCCACTGAACTCGTGAAAACAGGCCCAGGCTCCACACGACAGCAAGCCCTGATCATGTGAGATGTGCACAAGAGGAACAAGACTAAAATGTATTCTGTATTGATTGGTTCTATTCAAAGAACGGTTCTATTATAATGTGTGGTCTTCTGTTGTTTTATTTATACCTAAAACATAATATGGAAATAAGGTCACTTTTTTTACTCTTTCAAGAAAATACTAAAAACATTCAGTGTGTTAGTATGGATGAAAGAGAACTGGCAGACAACTGTAGGCAGTGCATCAACATTGAAAGGCCTCTATCCTGAAATAGATGGAATATGCCTGCATTGGTGTTGGCAGATCAGGACAATGTTCTCCGTCGTTTATGTGCCACCACAGGATTTCTTTAGTTCGTTGTCCTTCCCCCTGCACCTTCCAATTAGCATGGTTGGCTAGGTACAGTGTGAAAGAAGTTCAACATTCATAAAACTTTAACTTCCCATTATCTATTTTGCAATGCATTTAGTCTACTCTTGGTTCAATTGTGTTTTTTTCTGGACACCTTATTGTTGACCGTATGCTGGTCATACTTGCCTTGAAGAATTTGCCAAGGGTGATGTAATCGAGACCATTGGAGCAGTTAAACATGATACACTGCTTGGCCACTGCCTCGGCAAGGCCCTCGGTGGTCTCCGTTTTGCCAGTTTCAGCTGGGCCCTCTGGAGCACCGCCCAGATGTAGGCTCAACGTCCCAAACCGAGTCCTGTTGGCAATGCTTACGTGATAGCGAACTTAAAGTGAACCCTAACTATATGTTGCTAGTCGTGATAGGAGTGTATAGCACCAATACTTAGTATTCAACGTGCATTCCCACTACAAAAAACATGTACTACATTTCTTACATTTAAAAAAAATAACTCGTGCTTTACTCTATTTAAGACATAACTTACTGCAACACGACAGTTACAGGAAGTATCGTAATTACAAAGCGCTCCCTTCAAAAGTGTTTGTGCTGTAGGGTGGAAACACTGCACCTACCAGTTAGCAGCGAACCGTGAGTGGAGTGATGACCAGACGTGAAGAGTTGCCGAGGTAATCATCATAGCCATAAGGCAGCTGGGCATAAATCACGTGTGTTGGAATTTGCTCCTTCTGCACACACTCATAAAATATGGTTTTATGGGCTTCTAAGTCAATAAGACATTAAAGAGATGTTTAATGGTAGTCAAGGACGTGGAACAGCAACACTTCAGTTACACAATTTGTCACTGCATTGAGGCTTGTGCTTGTTCCAAACAACAACATATAGTTACATGCAAAAATATATATTTAGATTTATCTCATAATGAAGTGTTAATGAGGTAGTGTTTTTGGTTTGTGCTTGTACATCATTGCCAGCCTAGTCCCTTAAATGTAACTGTTTATGCAGTTGTAATTATTTTCATAAGCAACAAACAAATGATAAATTGCAGTTGTTTCGTACACTGTTAAAGAGGGGGAAATCCCATACAAAGGGAATAACTCATTATTTATTGGCAATAATGTTAAGGTCTCCTAAAATTGCTCTTGGCATGATGTCCAGCAAAGAGGAGGCTGCTGTCGGTTGTGTGCGCAAATTGCCCCACTATCAGGGCTGTTTGCATTGAGTCACCGTCCAGTAGCAGCGGAGCTGGCTCAGCCACTGGAAGGTTTTTTGTTTCTTGTCGTCCAGCTGGCACCGCACCAAGGTCGACAGAATGTGACACGTGGCGTGAATGTCCAACACCACCAGGGCACCCAGCGCCCCCAGCCCCAGGTGGGTGCCCTGGTGGTGCTCTGTGCCAGGTAATCATTCGTGGCCTAACCACAGGAGAATAATGAAAATGCCATTTTTGTATTTGGGATATCGTTTGATAGTTTTTTAAACAAACATGGTCTGTTGTGTGGCAATGCTGATCTTTCAACATTATTTTTGAACTGCACTTACGAGATTGCAAATGTTACATTTTGACGAACAAAACCCTAGCAATAGGAGTAAACTATTCAACGTACTCAGGAATAACACTGCTTAAAAAGCCACATATAATAGGGGACATATCAGACAATGACCTTTCTCCATTCAAGTGCTGTGAAGAAGGCTCATTGCTTGAAACACCGCCTATTATATGTTTTCCTTTGAAGGCAGTGTTAGTTATGAATGTGTGTTAGTTATGAATGTGTGTTAGTTATGAATGTGTTGAGTTTATTATTTTGTACTCGTGCACTACTGCCAATGCAGTGTCACCAAATCATTTGTCTCGTAATAGGAGTACATGAGCGGAATTGCATGATTATATTGCATGCTATGGGCATGTGATTTTAATCATCTCAATTAAGATTTTATTACAAGTCATTACGGTACTCCATTACTTAATATAAAAAGCACCTAAAATGAATGCCCCACTTGGCAATAATAAGCAAATGTGATTTCCACTCAGTTAAAATCTACACATGTTCCAATGATAATACATTTTAAGCTTCTCCAAAATACCTAACCATCTGCAATTACTATGTCAACTGAAGTTGGAATTTTCAACTTCACAAGTCCACAATATTTCTCAAAAATATTAGAAAGTGAAAGGTATATGTGAAAGGTATATGCGCCAATAAAAGCGGTCTCACAGTAGGACTGGCACGGGTGGTCTGGTGGATCTGCTGGGTCCAATAGGCCTGAGACACACTCGCACCCAGTCGGTGCGTACCACCGCCGGGTACGCCTCCGTGGCCACACGGATCACCTGACCACCTCAGCACGCTGAGCATGTTTGCATTCAGTGGGCTCAAAGAGCCACGTTTCGGTGAGATGCACATTTTTTGGATGCCTTTAATTCCCTGAAGCCTATCATTCCTCGAGAAATTTTCTACAATATTTTCTGTTTGTGGAACATTTACTCTCCACTCCTTACAAAGATCTCCTTTGAAAGATTTTATCTTATGTGTTTTCCATCCAATTCTCAACTTTCCACTTTTCTTATTTTTGCACTTCACACCAATAATGAAACAGGGGCCATATGGCTGACTTTTGCATTCACATTCACAAATCAGCAAGGGAGTATTATATTTTTCAAACATGTAATAAAACTAGCGTTCCCTAATTAAATGCAAGGAGGCCGAGAAGAGAAATTAAACTACTGATCTATGAGGAACAAACTACCGAGTCTAATGGTCCAAACTTTAAGTTATAACTGTGACGGACCGTTTGTGCTCAGCAATTGGTGGCTACGGGACATCAATTTGTTGCCACAAAAATAATGTCCATATGTATCTTTTTTTTCCCATCCATTTGCTTTTAGACATTACACTTTTTTCACAAATGCAGAGGTGCCACGTTATTGCTCAAACCACGAGAGACATCACGGAACGGCAAGCATGGGTGACATCGAATGTCAAGGGCGAAATATTTATAGGGGTCACTTTGGACTGAGACATTTCTGACCTTGGGGGCCGTCCATAAATTACATCACGCACTTGGGGGGGGGGGGTCGATGTGTGACGAGGAGGGGGGGGGGGTGAGAAATGTGACGTCACATCAAAATGCGCAATTTTAAATAAATATAGACGACACGTTCTACTTAATTAAATCGATTTTTTAAATAAATATTTTCTCCTACAACATCAGAGTGCAGCGCCACGTTAAATACGCACTCCAATGACAATAGTTTAAAGCGATTAGAAGCATGTTTAATTTTGGGGGGGGGGGGGGGGGGCAGAGCTTTGTGACGTCGTATTTGAGGGGGGATCTGACTTTTTGTAACGCCGTGTGACGGGGAGGGAGGGGGGGTCAAAAAATCGTCTAAAATCGCCTGACGTCATTTATGGACGGCCCTTTGTCCCCGGAGTGGACCATGATGGATTCTAGTAAGAGCAACCACTTCTCCACCTGACCACGGACCAGAGGAGTAGAGATGGCATCTCTACAAGCTCCATCTGCTCCTGCCTGCGGATGTGTGTTGTGTTCAGCTCTGCTGTGAACGTCACTTGTGAAATCCCCTCAAGGCACTTCTTCAAATGGAGCTGAACTCCGCAAACCAAACACAACGAGTCATATTAAAAAAAAATGGTCCAACGGCTACCAATTTTACATGGGGACATTAGCACCGAAACAAATGAACAGTAAAAATGCAAATAATTTACGAAGGGAAATCTCAATGTGTCTCCACACTATTTTTTGTAAGGTTATGCATTGGGATGTTTAGCCAGTTTTATGAACGAGTGTTTGCCATGTAGCAGGAAACTGAATTATCAAGTCAGAAAGGGTTTTAGAATCCCATGTGAGGGGTAATACTCTAATTGCCATCTCCTGGCCACTTCATAGCCCCAGTTTAATTGCTCGTATATGTCAGGAGCTAAGATAAATCCTAACCTGGAAATTAACATTACACACGTCTAAGACTGAAGTACGTGTAGATAATGCTGTGTGTGGGTGAGTGGTTGACCAGGTGGGATCTGTGGTCTCAGGATACCCAGGACATCGTTGTTGGACAGAATGAATCAACGTGAAAAGAAGACACGCTTCTTCTCCAAGTACTGGCTGAGGCCTTTAAAATTAGCTCAAGAAGCTCATTGGACCTGGTCAGTTTTTGCTTGTCCTGGCTGACATAGTCACACAAACCAGTTAGGTGGAAAGTACAGTCAATAGCTATCATAACTTCAATAACATTAACATCTTCACTGTCATCTTCATAGCCAGGTTTATAACACAGGCTTGACCATAATTTTTTCACAAACCGTGTCATATTTAAAAAAACAAATGTTATTATTTGATATAGTACAGATACCTATTGGGTGTATTAACAATCTTCATATTAGTATTCACAGTTAATGATGATGCATTTTTATATGGGACAGTTGTTTTACTTCCAGTGTCACTCCACCTCCGTGCTGTTTAATCCTGCATAGTTTCTTTCACAGTTTTAAATGGAGGGAGTCTTATGTCAGTTCTCCTTTAGACATATTGTGCCACACAGTATATGTTATGAACAAATAATTAGTATCTATATACTTTGACATATATCATGTTGCACCCACCTACTCATCTGCCATGAGTAAAATGCAACATTGCTGGCTCGCGTGCTTACATGGGCTATGTTGAAATACTTTTTTTTAAATCAGAAACCGCCTTATTAACAGATTTTGTTTCAATCACATTGCAAAGTATCACCTGCACTGCTAGTATCATGGTGTCGCGCCATAAATCTCTAGCTCTGCTCTGACATTCTGGCATCTGGGCCATGATGTCAGCTGAGCTGGAGTTGGGTTACAAATTAAGCCACGTGGCCTGCACCTTAAGCCACTCATCCGGCACCTCCTGCGGCAGAAGCAGTGTGGCCTGGATCTCATTGATCGATGATAGGATGTGCGTGCCCGTCTCTCAGTATGGCAGCATCACAAACTCTTAAGGAACTCCACTCGACCATCATCTTATCCAGAGCCATCTCCATGGCGTACTTCTTGCTGGCCAGCTCACCCATGACACTCATGGCTTCCAGGTGGGGCCCTAGTTAATGCCCCCATAATTGGTCAGGCTTATGCTGTCGTAAGGTATGAGTGGCATGCCTTGTGATGTTTGACATGGCTTTCCAGTTATGGGGTCTCAGCCCAGGATTGTACACCACCTGAAATAGAGGCAGCTACTCAATAAGTTACAAACATATGTGCATATAGACAATATACATGGTCAATTGATTCCATTAGGCTTTCAAGACTAAACCTTAATTTAATTTGTAAGTGTTGATTTTGAAATCATTACTTAAATGCACTGTTATTGTGCACTAATCACTGTTTTCAAAGATTTCTAGACACCGTTTTTTTCATTATGTATTCTTGAGGATGCAGATAAACAATTGTGTTTTTATTAATAACTTCAAATATTCAAAACGTATAGTTATGCTTTAGGCGATATTGATATTGTCGTAAAGTTAAGAATGAACGAGAAGGCCTCGAGTTTAAATATTGTATCCCGACGTTACGTGTAGTAGTTTATTTTGAATTATCCCGTGAGCCAAGAAGTTCTTAAAATGGGTTTCATCAACAAAAAACAACAACACCGCTTCCCCGTCATACGCGCAAGTCACAGTAAAAAAATAAATCAATAATGAACAATAACAGATAAGCGAGATAAAGAAATAGATAGCAAATTATAATCGCAGTATAAACATTCTCCCTTTTAAAAATATATAATAAGTTAAACATAGATTATTATCAAATAGCACGCTGTATCTCTAAAAAACATACTAGTTTAAATCTGCCATGTGAATTGTAATGCAGATACGGCCTAAAACACGACGGCATTATATTTAGGAATAAAACAGCATCCACTTAAACAAACTTCGTGTAAACAACGCACATAAAGTGGTCGCTTACAAGCAATTAATATATCTCGTCTAACTCTTTATACATTGGCAGCTGGGCTGGAATTCACTTGAAATTCGTGATTTGAAGTGAGTGATGGACGGGAATGACTACAGACCAAGCTTTGTGACAATATTGTTCCACAGACTAGGGGCAGCCACCGAAAACGCTCGTTCACCAAAACTTGTTTTCGATTTGGGAACGTTCAACAGAAGTAATGTTGAACTCCCAAGGTTAGGTCTGCCCTCCCGTCGTGTCAACTGATCCAAAAAAGATTGTGCCGAATTACCACTTCGAATATTGTAACTAAACAGAGCCTTCTGTGTTCGTGGAATGATGTTAATTTCGTTTTTATTTTTTTTGGACAAGTCACAATGATGGGTCTTATAAGGGGCATCCAAAGAAAATATTAGAGCGGAATGATGCAGTCTCACGTCTAATGCCATGCACCATGGCTCTCATTGACACGGTAATGTGATGGTCTTCAGATGAGTGATTGAAGCTTTTTCCAGATTATGCAGCACACGCCAGGCGTTTGCCACATCTTGCTCTACCCTGTCTGCAGGCAATCCCTGAAGTGGCCCCTTCATCAATCACTGATGCACACACAAGAGGGACTTCACCAATGGAATTCTAGACACTGAACACATGGTCGTCGACGACCTCACTGCTGCCTCCACAGACAGCCCAAGGGAGAGCAGGTGTGGAGGAATTTATGGCACAATGTGTGGTAGCCACGATGCGTCCAAAGGAGACGTCTCCACATCGATCACATGCTGAATGTAACAGCAATGTCGCTGCACAAACAGCAGGCTATTCTTAGATATCTCATTCTCCTGTTTTCGTGGACATTAATAACGAATTTAATTAAAGACATACGTTAAATTGAACATACTGTGGTAAAAATATAATTCTCATTGGAATATCAATACACGAAATTCGTCACAGTAATTCACGAGCAACAGTGTAACATGGGACAGCTTATTCATATTCTTAGCTCTTTCGGTAATGTTTTCCCCTTTTTCTGGCAACAAAACAGCTGTGTTAAGATGTTAAAACACCAAACTGAAACCTTTTACAAAGAATCATATCTGCATTAACCACATAAACTTGTGGTCAGTGTATGTGGTATAAAAAAAATACTCTGATAGTATATGCATTGTCTTTGAAACTGATTGGTCCACATCAGAGACAGCTTTCTTTTGAGCCTAGGAATCATTTTGGCGTCCTCTGGTCTAACACCGTTTGGACATGTTTGTTTTGTTGTAGTACGGAGTTAGACTGACGGCTTTAATCTAAGTTTTATTGTGGTTGTTGTTGTTTGACCTGCATCCCACTGGGATTTTTTGCACACAGCGTTGGTGTACGGTGCTTTCTTCAGGAATATTTTGCTGGTTTTTATCATGGATTTTCTGTTTGCACAGTCACATAGTCACTTTAAGATGTTTTCTTGTTCGTGTTTTTGTTTTTTTGTTTGTTGTGGTTTCACCCGATTCAAGAGCCGAATGGCTCACAGGGCTATACCAAAATAAATAAACTGAAAAAAAAACTGAGACAAGGCTCGAAAGAAAGCTGTCTCTGGTGTGAACCAATCCGTTTCAAAGACAATGCAACTGCTATCAGAGCATGTTTTTTGTTTGCATTCTGAGCACAAGTATATGTGGTTAATGCAGACACGATTCCTTGTAAAAGGTTTCAATTTGGTGTTTTAACATCTCAATACCTGTTTTGTTGCCAGAAAAAGGGGAAAACCTATTCTTATATTTCGGTACTGGCAAAGGAGGTCCCATAATGGGACAGCTTGATTGACTCTACATGGCTATTTAAGACTGAGTATACTCCATGAAATGTTTGCTTTGATGAGCTAAAGGTCATAATACCTTTATTAAATAAGCCTGTGCAAAAATATCTCAATTATAAGAACACAATTTACAGCGTGCACATATTGCACGAATGACACATTGTTCGATTAAAAACGTGGGAGGTGTCGATGCAGAGCTCCCTCTGCCAGCAATTGAAGAACAATGCATACGTGAATCGAAAATGATTAGTCATTTATAAATGTGTAGTCTCAAGGCGACAACCGGGCCAGCAAATGAATGAAAACATAACGAAGACCACGAAACCCCCATGAACGATTAATAATTTTGCAGCCATGTGGTTCAATATCTTAATAAGGTGTGGAACAGAACGTGAATCCACCTAACTGGGCTCTGTTTTCTCAGCAGTAGGTGGGGGAAGTCACCAGCAGCAATTCCGACTCCACAAAAACGTCGCCAGAATTACACATGATACACACATTGTGAAATAATGTAACGTCACTTCCAGAAGGTTAGGATAGAAGTGCGAGTCTTTGTGCCGGGTGACGAGGGCGCAGCGGAAGTTTTCCTGATCCTTGACTGCATCGATGAACTGAGTTCGCTGCCTGAAGCGACGTCTGGCATCGTGCGATCCTCGCAGGAGTGCTGTAACCCACCGAGCTGCGCTGCTCAGGGCTCCACGGATTCATCCCAGCTGAGCTTGCCAGCTGCCACCGTGGCATGTAAACACGTCAGCCGAATACCCTCGTTATTTACACGCTGCTGATCACCAAAAGCGAGAACTTCGCGAGCTTGTGCTTGACTTAAATGGCTACATTCGGTTTCGACTCGATTACAAAGCCCAATTCCACGTGTTTAAATTCGAAAAATGCTGGCTTCACATCACAATTTGATTATCCAGTTTTAATGCACCATCGAGACATTAAAAATACAATCTACAGTACAGTATATCTTGAGTTTCACGAATGACGGGCTGAAACTCAATTTGTGTTCAAATTTGAGCATTTTTTATTACTGATGGCATAGCCACTTTCAATCTGATTTCTCATATGTATCTGTGTATTTGTATATATATAAGCATGCCTTTTGTTGCCATTTCATAACAGCCAGTGGTACAATATTCTTGTTGATAAATATTATTTGGAAGTCGACATCATTGAGGAGCGCAGCGGAGAGACCCACTCTGGTTTCACCTTTAGCTGATCACAGGAAAGCAATCGCTGCAACGTTTAGGGAGCATTACAAACGACTTGATTTTTGTCTAAAATATGACCAACACGTGAGAGACTTATTCATGTTAGCTTCACTCAAATATCAGTACTGGTCTGAAGAATTGTAGGTCACCTGGGGAGTAACCAGAGCACTGCCATAGATGGCATGCCAGACTATGTCATGTAGACGTGTGGACTCTTAAGAAGTGCAGACTAAACACTGCTTTGTTAACATCACCTCTGGCAAATCGGCTCGGTGCTGAGCGGGGCTCGGGCTATACTTTGCATTTCCAGTGAGAGTGCTCCTGGTTCGGGGAAAGAAGATCGCATCAGCACGACATCGCCATTGTGATCATCACAATGCTGATGTCATTGCCATACCCCAATGGGGAGTTTCACATCAGCGAGGAGGAAGTTTAAACCACTCAGCTCGAGAGACCGTTGGTTGTAGGTGTGGATTTTGAAATCGTTCGATTGCTCTCGCGCAAAAGAAATGTAGCTATAGGTTTTTACCCTTTTATCTGGCACGAAAAAAACTGACACCTTTATACAAGGGATCATGTTTGCAATAACCACAACGCAAGTAGTCAAGGGTAAAAACCTATTACTATATCTTGTTACTGGCAAAGGAGGTCTCATAATGTAAGTGCTTACCCCGAGCCCTCAATACTCTGATAGTGCGCTGTTTTTAAGTTGTACGCCTTTTGGCGTCTTCTGGTCCAACACCAGTGGAGACTGGGCTCTAAGAAAAGCCGTCTCGGGTGTGGACCAATCAAATTCAAGGACAGTGCATATTATTATCAGAGTTGTCTCTTTTGTTTGCATTTTGACTATTTGTGTTGTGGTTATTGCAAACATGATGCCTTGTATAAAGGGGTCAGTTTTTTTTGTGCCAGATAAAAGGGTAAAAACCTATTACTATATCTTGCTACTGGCAAAGAAGGTCTCATAAAGAAATGTAACTGTGAAAACAACAAAGGGGGCAGCCGTTCCTGCGGCCGATCAGAGACAATAGCCGATGACGTCATCGCCGTTGTGAGGCTGAGCGGTGTCGCGCTCGCAGGCGAACAACGACGACGCAGGCGCAAATCTAACTCTTTTTATTATTACACCCCCCCCCCCCCGAACGTTTTTAACTAAGTTAAAGGGTACACGTAAACAGTACGACGTACAACTAAACTTTATCTAAAAACATGTAATGCAGACAATTTGCAAGTGTTAAATATCGACGTTCGAAATGTCGATTAGTGAATAACCGCAAAGATCATGAGGCTCACAAGAAGCTTTCTTGCCGCAGCGGCATAACGTATTTCGCCTCTCACGACGGACATCCCGCGTTCAAATCCAGACCTTTAAACGGTTCAATTTTTCGTCTATTTAGACAAACGTGATGACGTCAGCACGTACTACTGCAGTGCAACGTGCGCGCCAGTGCAATCACGACAGCGGACGTAGCCCTGTGTGGGAGACGCGGTGGCTTGGCTGGCAAAGCAGAGAGTCCAGCAATGTGAAGCGGACCTGGGTTCAACATCCCCACCCCACGTCGAGAAGCGAAAACTAAATTCGCACATAGACGAGACTTCAAACAAGGCGAGGTGCTTCACAGGTAAGTTCGTAAGTGGATAATCATGACATGTATGTGTTGTTGCTTCTGTAGAAATGACATGTAAGGTGCAGGTCTTGAATACTGAAGGTGCCGGACTGGCGTAGATGACAGAGACATCCTGGGGGAGAGAACCTGGAACATCACGAGGAGGTGGGGAGATGAGGAAGAGATGGGGCCTGGGGGACAATTAGATTTTTTGCAACAAATGTGTCCACTAGGAGGCGCTGTTTTACCGCTAGGGGGCGCTGTTTGGCCACTAGGGGGCGCTGTTGCAATGCATTTTTGCCCTTAAACATTTTTAAGCAAATATATCGATTTACATTGTTTTACTAACATTTAAGCCTCAAGTCATGGTTTTATGAAAAATTGCCAAGAAATTAAGCATGAACACGGTAAATTAATCATTCCTCACGTGGAAACTGATATTTCGACGCCAAAAAACAGTTTTCATAGCAATTAAGATCATTAAAACTTTTTTACATATGAAAGAAATGTCTCAGCGCTTAGTTTCACTGTGATTTTACATACAACTATGGTTTACAGCTCAAATGTGCTGGTAAATCGATGTATTTGCTTCGGAGTGGAGCATTTAAAGTAAAAATGTTAGATAAACGACGCACACAAGTGATGATAGGTCTTCATAAATCTGAATAAATAACATAGCGTAAAAAAAACTTTAAACCTGAAAAAATATGAACATTCTAAAGCTAATTATTTTAAAATGCGTATCAAACTCCACGGACAACCCAATTATAAAAAATCACTGAAAATATACTATTTTACTTCGTAAACGGGCATTATTTAGCACAACAGTATCTCATACACACGTGTTATTTTGGCTATGGGAACCACAGTCGATATAAACGCGTCTCAAACTCGGTCTCATGAACGACGCGCCTCGGGTGAGACGCTGTGATAAGTGCAGTTGTAAGTCAACCTCGACCCCCTAACCTTGTCCCTGAACCTAACTCTAACCCCATCCCTAACTCCAAACCATATCCATAACACCAACCCTATTCCTACCCCCCTTGGAGTTACCTCCGCTTGGCGGTGCGATGTGCCGAGACATTTCCCCTACCTCTCCCAATGTCACCCTCCTCTCTTTTTGTAAATTCCCGTATTTCTCTCTCGGCGACGTACATTAACCAGCATCTTCTGGTTCTTTCGGCAAAGTTACGTCGATAGAAAAAAATGAAACCAAAGAAAACACGACGTTTCGGTCGCAACACAAGCGTCCGTCTTCAGGTGAGAAAAAAATGATCTCCTGTTGTGGCTTTACATAGGCACGGGAGGGGGGAAGGAGGGGGAAGGAGTTTGGCTGTAGGAGTTCTTTTATTTTATTATTTCTTCTACCTACGCGACTTTACTGAAAGAACCAGAGAGTATGGATTCCTGCAGTCGCGAAAGCTTCAAATCAAGGTGAACAAAACCGTCAAGACACATTCCTTCTTTCCCCGTTACTCGCAACATGCGCGAACGCTCCTGTTAAGATCAAAAAAACACAGCGCGTACTCGCGCACCTGCAACCAAACTTTTTATTGACGCACGTCTTGCTCTCTCATTGTGTTTTCGATTCGCGTGTGCTTCGTTTACGAACCGTTAAATATAACAAAAATTGTCGTGCGATCATTCTGAAGGAGCTTGTACTCGTTCTCTGCGATATTGATGTTGTTGGTCTTTTGTTTTTGTTGCTGCTGCTGTGTTCAACACAACCATGGTGTAACAGAGCCGGGAAACTGGCTAAACGGGATCAGTTTGGTGTTTTAACATCTTAACGCCTGTCTTGTTGCCAGAAAAAAGGGGAAAACCTATTCTCATATTTTGGTACTGGCAAAGGGGGTCCCATGATGGGATCAACAAATTAAATACACTCAACACCCCAAAACTTGTTTGTGCAGCGTCTTGAGATGCACACACGCTGAGGCTCTTTGTTGAACCCACTGTGTCACCTCATGTGGCTTTACCGAAAGAACCATGAGACTGTTATATTCTTGGTTCTTTCGGTAAAGTCACGTAGAAGGGAAACAATAAAATAATACAAATCTAAAACAATAAAATTATCACGTTTCGACTGCAACACAAGCAATCATCATCAGGTGTGAGACTGTTAACTACGTATGTCCCACTGCATGTGTAACTGTTAACGACGACGTTAATGACCCTGAGACATCGGAATTGCCAAAACCAGCCCAGAATCCGAGATAAAGCCGTGATTTTATAAAGTCATGAGGCTCCATCGTATAATGACAAATGTGTGGATTTACGCGTAAGCGGTAGCGGGGTTGACTTGCTTTCTGTCGGCTCTCGCTTCACACAAACTGGGCTCACGAACGATGTTGAGTGTTTGGCAGGAAGAAGACTTCAAACAACTTGAGTGTCACGCACACCTCAGGGTCTATAGGTTCCGGGTTACCCCAGATGCAGAGTCCCGTATTCAGATACAGGGTCCCGTGTTACCCAGGTGTAGTGTCCAGCCAAAGCGTCCCGGGTCTAGGTGCAGGGTTCACATACAGGGTCCCGTATGACACAGGTGCAAGGTCTCGTGTCCAGATACAGGGTCCCGTGTTACCCAGGTGCAGGTCCTGCGTCCAGATACAGGGTCTCGTGTTGCCCAGGTGCAGGTCCTGGGTCCAGATACAGGGTCCCGTGTTACCCAGGTGCAGGTCCTGGGTCCAGATACAGGGTCTCGTATTGCCCAGGTGCAGGTCCTGGGTCCAGATACAGGGTCTCGTGTTGCCCAGGTGCAGGTCCTGGGTCCAGATACAGGGTCCCGTGTTGCCCAGGTGCAGGTCCTGGGTCCAGATACAGGGTCTCGTGTTGCCCAGGTGCAGGTCCTGGGTCCAGATACAGGGTCTCGTGTTGCCCAGGTACTGTCCCATGCCTACTGCTGGTATCTGCCTTTACCTCTGGGCCCATTATTGGGTCCCCTGCTGCCAACCTTTATCACTTTGAACCTATGGACATGAGGATATCTCGCGGTCACGAGATGTTAACTCCCTCGTCGGTTCGATCCCGACTGACGCCTGTCTATTTGGAGTTTGCAAGTCCATCTCCCCGTGGTCGTGGATTTTTCTCCGGGTCCTCCGGTTTTCTCCTCCACAATGATAAATATGCGTTTAGACTATTTGGCTGCTATAAATTTCCACGTGATAAGCCACTTCATTGGGCTATCATGTGACCAGGTTGCTTCTGAAATAGAGCTATGCAGCTCCATACGCCTTACCTCTACAATTAAAAAAAGTTAAATGAAAAACATTTTGTCTATAGCTATCTTGTGCAGGACACCTACGGTGTCAAAATCAGGTAAGGGCGATCCGTTAAAATGTACATTTCATTGCTATTGACTGATGCTGTCGCCATACTGTTGTTCGAAACCAATCTTGGGCACTGCCATCCCTCCACACGCGAGGGAAGATCATGCATACATATTGGGATATTTTCACATTGCTTTGAGTGGCCATGATCTCCCGCTCTTGCAAATAATCCACATGCCATGATTTGTTAATGTCAATCGTACACCACACAATGCTGCGCTTTGGTTTAACATGAATATATGCGAACGAAAAGTCATGTCAGGTGCAAGAGTCAATGTCACTTCCATGTTCACTTGCCAGCAGCCCTCATTCATTATTGTGCAGAAGTTGGGTGATCCACTCATTACAGCAATTAAAACCAACACTTACCTCGTGTAATCTACATCAGTCTGTGAATACTATGTGTAATTGCCATCAACACTAGACATAGCAACACATGCACAGTCGAAAAAGATGCAAAATCATGCTATGAAGTTAGAGCAATAAAAAATATATAAAAAGGCGAGAGATGCAGTCATAAAAGATGGAGATGACGGCGGAGAAGCATTCACAGTTGTGTCCATGAGGATAAACAGATGCATTCACAAGAGGTGTATGTGATGTGTCCAGAAGAGATAGATGATGCAATGCATTCATAAAATGATAGGAAATGTAATATTGTAGAGAATACGTATTCGGAGGATAGCAGAACTATGCAGCCAAAAATAGGTGATATATTCAGAAGCGATATGAAGAACCAGGGTTACCACCTTTTAAATAAACCAAACACAGACATTTCTCAGTCAGCCTCGGTTCATTAAAATTGCGCGGTAATATTTTTTAATTATCAATAACACCAGATACCAATCCCCAGATTACCCGGGACAAACCCGAATAGGTGGAAAACGTCTTGGAATAACATAGATGTCACCGTGCTTAATTATGGTGAGATTTACTCAAAATGAAAAATATATACCTGCAGGGGGTTATTGATGCACCATTTACTCAATGGAAGATTAATATTTTTTCTGAAATAAAATGATGCTTGCAGATGACATGTACTATATGCAGGATAGGTATTAAGATTACAGTAAATAAATGAACAAAAAAATACAGACACGAGATACAAATGTGTACTCAACTGATGCAAAATCTTTACCCCAAAGACCATGACCCCCCACTGCCTTTAGTACAAAGGTCACGTTCGGAGCGAGATATTCACCTAATATCACCTAAAGGTAACTCTTTATAGAGCCGAACTCGCCATCCACATTGACATGGGGATGAACTATGGAGCACAGAACCTGCAATGTGTAGAGCACCGGGGAGGTTAGTTCTGTAATCCGTGAACAAAAATGTCACGTGGTGCCGCTCTTCACAGGAATTGTCCAACTCCGTGAATCCGTGAAAACATTGTATTACAGGGTAAGTCCATAAACATGGAGAGCAGCTCCATTATTCAGCAAGACCCAAAAGGAGCAAACCTGCCCTATGCACCTAAAGGATGTTTGACATTTTATACTTGTGATAAAAGTAAAAAAATGCTACTCAGATCACACAAATGCAGCTAATGTGCTGCTGGAAAACCCACGAGTTTTTTTTGGCAAAACATTTGCATTGCACCAAAGATGCAAGTAGCCTCTTTTTCCATGAGCAGAAACATTCTCAAATCGTAACATGATCAAATATAATCCAAGGACACCACCGATGTGGTGTGCCATAGATTCCTGGAAGAATTTGCCGGTCCCGGAGATTCCGGATCAGTGGTACCACAGGTTATGAGTCTCGAACTGGGGGTAAACTGCGAACTATACAGAGATTCCAGCATGTTTGCTTTGGTTAATTCAAAGATGCTGCAGGCTTGGTTTAAGTGGGCGCAAAGATGGCTCACGATTCATAGTTTTGACAGACCTGCATTATAGGCCTGTAAAAACTCAAATTGATCAATTAAAATCAAAATACACCAATATAACAAATTCAAATCGAGTGAAATATTGCAGAATTCCTTGTATGCAATATTAACATTGTTAATTGAAGCTCATAATTAATCTGAGCAGTGAAAACCATACTTGTTCAGCAACAAATGGATACTTTGAGATATTTTATTGCAAAATGAAAGAATTTCATGTTAACCTTCACGGCACACACATTTAAGTTGGTTGATGTTTTTGTGCAAGGCAGTACGCTGTAACAAAAGCCATTAAATTATATCGTGCCAAAATTATAAAAATTTAAATAGAAATTCACAAGCAGGAAAACCCGTTGACATTAATCTTCCCTCCAGCCCTGATTTTCAACCACAGCTTTATTATTATGAGACTATTGTAAAAATAGTGTGAAATGCCTAGTTAAATAATTGGGTTAAACATATTTTGGGAATGTTTACCATGTGCGCATCACATTTTAAATGACACCGTTTATTAAAATTGGTCAAGGACTTCTCTGGACAAACATAAGATACGTAGAGATTGTGGATGACAACTTAACGACAGAATTGCACATTTGTTTTTAAGACAGATGTGATTCGAAGTGAAACGAGTTGCAATTTGTGCAGATAATTGGTGTTTCCACCCTTCTTGTTCCTTAGGCCATATTCTTTGCCCTGAGCTTTGACAGAAGAATTTCATTTTTGCGACACTCCTGCAAAGATACAGGCCAATACACATATTAGAGTATGCAACTCAGCCTCTTTCATCTCAATATCTAGATCAAGCAATGTAACCGCAATGACCCAAAAAGCCATTGTCTAGTTGTCTTTGTCACACGCACTAAAAGTATTCTGAGCAGTTGTGAGGAGTAAATACATTTCATGTGGAAACATTTCATCGTTATAATGTAATTTTTATTTCATTGGGATTGATTATAAGCATCACGACTCAATGCAACATTTTACACAATTAACCTTTCTGAAAGTATGCTTCCAAATGTTTAAAAGTAATTCCTAACAAAGTACCGTTATTTGTTTTTTTTTACATGTAAGCTTTCTAAATAAGATTTTTGCAACTCCATTTTGCCTGACTATTAAGAAGTACTAAAAATAAATATAAAATTAATCTAACCTCTTTGAAGTCCTTCACTGTTTTGAAATAAAGGCGTTGTTTATCCAGGAGATCAAGATGTTCATCATTAAGTTGATCTCTTCTCATCTTATTCTCCTGACGCTTCTTTTCCACCTGCAGGTGAATGACATGGACCATTTGAAGTTTACATAAAGGTACACGAGTATAACCAACAGACAATTATATATAGATGTGCAATTAAATGAGTGTAGCAATAAAACAAATATACCATCTTGTAATATATATGTCCACTTAGATTTCGTAAGCATTGCCATAATTATATTCATAATTGCAGATATTTTTACAATTTTATATAAAACCACATCAATCACAATTTATTACAAATACATGAGGATGTATGCAGACAATATGCAATGAAAATATATGTAAGGAAGTAACTATTTTAATACCTTGCACGTGACAAAAAGTAATGAAGCTTATCCAGCGACAAATTAACAGGGATTTTTCCTCCAAAGAACATTTTCACTCACTAACCTTTACACGGCTTTGCTTGATCCCCTCCACAATCTGCTCCAGCTGTTTCAGAAACTGCTCTCTGCCACCTTGTGAAGCCATGGCCCTTTGGAAATCACAATGCACAGGGACCTTTCTTACAACTGCGATAAAAATGGCGACACCAATTGCCCAGCTATTCCAAATGACTTGGCGACATTGTTTCTCTACCAACTGTAACCTGACATAGATTGAAAAAATATTGTCTTTGCTCCAATCCTGATGCAAGATAAGTATAATTACGTAGTTTTCAAGTATTGTCATCAGTGTTTTGTCCTGGCTAAAGTAAAGCTGATGTTCTCTCACAACATCGGTTGATCTGTCAGTTATATTAAGTAGAGCCAAATGTGGTTAATATGTTTTGCATACGAGGGTTGTGGATGCAGTATTAGAAAATAAGTGTCATTGTTAAGTTATACATTTTTTTAACAATACATGGTATAACCAGTCACCTATACATACTTACTGCTGGAAGTTGTCATGGATGGAATTCAGCAAATTAACCTAAGAGACAGTAAAATGTGTTATGTTCATTTTACGAATAGGCAACTCATTTAAATATAAAACAATTAAATACAACTATACATTTTCCATTGTATTATCTTATTGTTAATTCATTTGTCCATCTTATTAATAATTTGTCTTTTTGGGTTTAGTTTGTTGTCCTTCCCTCGCACCTTTGATTAGCACGGTTGGCTACGTATGGTGCAAAAGAAGTTCAACATTATCTGCAATATACAAGTGAGGCACATTACACTATATTTTAGTTACAATAATCAATACCATCAACACATTTAGTTGGAAAGGTCCTTCCAGTAAAAAAATGGATGCCAACTGTGCAAATTATGTTAAACTATACAAACAAAAAAGTCAGTCAGTAGTCTTTATTTAACCAGGCAGCTAAATAAACCCATCGAGACACAAGACACATTGCTGCCTCTTTTTCAAATGGTGATCTGGGAAGGTGACAATGTTGATTCCTTTTAATTCAATACTGGAAAAATAACCTTGTTGTAATTATTCACATTTACATGCACAAACTAATATTCTGAATAAACCCGATCAAAGGTATTACTTATAGTTGATACACTTTTTTTCAATATAACATAGCATACCTCTTTTTCCAGATACAGCTTCTTGTCATCCAGCGTGTTGTACAAAGTATAAAATTGCTTCGTCTCTTTATGGGTGGCAGCCACTACACATCGGAGAAAATGTGGATTTCATATACTCCAGACCACAATACAGCACGGGATATTATTAACACATGGTAAATGTTATAAAATAATAAAGCTCACATGAATACTCTTCTTCAGCACCAATGCATACACATTTTAGCATAAAACTACACTGGAAATCGTTAAAATATAGCAAAATTGGTTGAGATTTCAGGTATCTTCAGTCAAACCTAATGTGGTTAATGCTTCACAATCTTTAACACAGGAGGGTGAAGTACTTATTGTTTTGTAGGTGCCTGTAAATGCTTGTTCTTTTTGTTATATTTCATTATGATCATTTCTTCCTACCCTGGCTGTAGAGCTCCACAAAGCGACGCTGGTACTGAGTCAGCTCAGCCCGGCTGGGGACTTCATCAATCTTGCGCTGCAAGATCGCAATCTCTCGGTTTCTCCTCCCCTAAAAAAAGAATCACACCAAAATCAAGCACAAGGAATTATATGTTTCGTATAATCACTATGCATTCTATGAGTATATCATTATTGTGTTTACCGAGTGCAATTTTATCCATTTGTGCTTTGATTCAACAGTTTGTGTTACTTGCCAAGAGCATGCGTATCTTCTGCAGTTTGTCGATATCCGTGCGGTATTGCTTTTCAATCAACTGGTCTTGTTCCTAAAAAAACAGTTATTGTTTAATTATAAAGTACTAATATGATTGGATTGGCATACATATGCTTTCAGAGTATCTGTACTCAATTTGCTGTGCAATGTAAAGTTTAATTTTAATGAACACTATAAATTATATATTGTACAATACATAAATTATAAATTAAAATCTTTAAATCACTTATGTACTTTCTATGCTTTTGCATTATTGTGTTCATGGTATTTCAATAAAAAATTGTCATAGATTTAAATAACTTTAAGTGATTAAATTCCATTTTTCTAAATGCCAAGCACGGCTCAGCAGTTTATCAAGTACTTCTTTTTAAAAAATGAGGGCAATTTATGCAAATGCAGATTATCTCCTTACAGCCTCTTCTCCAGTCGTATTGTTGGTCTGAAGCTTTAACTCTTCAATGCTGCTCTGTAGACGCGTCAATTCTTCCTATTAAAAAAAAACATACTTTCAATGTTATTTACAAACACGTAGTAAATGTGAATCATGCAAAATACAATACAACGAAGAGAGAAGGACATGTCAACCTTGCAGTGAGCACGGAACTCGTGCTCTTGACTCTTGAGGCTTTCATTCATAGCCACCAGGGCTCTCAGCTTCTGCAAGACACTGGAGCAATTGTGGAATTAGTATTAATACATCACCAGAAATTACTTTCCTATAGTTCCTAACAATGTAATATTACAACACAATGGTGCTGTCCCTCAATGTCTGCATGAGTGAATTAAGCCAAAATGGGACTGTTTAACTTTAATTTCCATAAGGAGAAATGTGCTTCATGAAAATAGATTTTTTTTAATTTAGTATGGTTTATTTAAGTGCAAGATGTTCTTAATATATATTATATGAGACAATATAAACAGTCCAAGGAAAATTAGATGCATCCACAATGCATATATATGTTTAAACAGTGAGATCTACAGAATATCATATAAATTAAGTTATCAAATTCTTAAATCTTGACTTAAAGCTTTCGTGACTGCAGGAATTCATACTCTTTGGGTCTTTTGGTAAAGTCTCCTTCCTGATAATATCTCCCTGCTTCTGAAAGACTCAAAGAGTATCAAGTTCTTATTGAGAAAAAGAAAATGAAAAACTATTATTGAAAAATACATACACAGTAACTATGGAAGCTCAATTTTTTTTTAACAAACTCTTACATGATTCTGAATAGTACAATCAATAAGACATTTGCAAAAGTGGATGTTATGAATCACATTTATCTGTGTATATTTAAGCATGTGTTTATGCTTTTAAATATGATGGTAGAAAAGGCACACATTAATCCATGCTGGGAAGAATAGCGTGCAGGGTAGCAAAGTAATGTCTCATCTCATTTTAATACTAGACATGAATCATGTACACGCGTATTTAGTACAACTAGACATGGATAATGTACGCATGCATTTGGTAGGCTTTCTTACGCTGAATCAGCCTGGCTCTCCATAGAATCCAACTGTCCCATCTCCTTCCTGAGAATCTCTCCCTGCTTCTCGACCTGGAAAACACACTTAAATCTGTGCAACATCCTTCACATAAACACACCTGCTGTGTTGCTACGTCTAAAAAACAAAAGCATTACCATGCAACGACATGCCACTATGATTCCGAGTAATTATAAATCATGGGAATGGAGACTTTTTTACAATTGTCTAAAGCGAAGGTGACATGTGCTGAAATACAATTACAATACAATAACATAGTGAACTTGAACATATCTAAAAATGGTGAGCTTCAATTGCACGGGTACCTCCATAAGCTTCTCTTTCGCAGCTTCAAAGGCAACTTTCAACTCAGTATGCTTGGCCTTTATCTGTAACACACATGCTGGCCAATGAGAATTTTCAAGTGGGAATACAGAAGAAAACAATACAATCGTAAAAATCTAGATACATTATATAAGCATGGACATTTTAGGTATGTTGGCATTGATATGCTATGAGAAATGTGGAACAGAAATTGTATCTGAAGGCCCTTATTTAAAGGAAACTTATGTACACCAAAGATAAATTTCACACTTAACTTTATGCAATTGCTTCTTTTAAAATTTCATGTTGACATAAACTGGTTCAGGATCAGGGCCCAGCACCTCCAATTAGCACGGTTAGCTATGTACAGTGCGAAAGAAGTTCAACATACATATGTATATACAATTTCATTAGAGCTCTTTTTATACAATGATTTAGTCACAAAATATTATTTTTTAAGTATTTTTAATGCCCTAGCCCCAATTTGAAAAACGGGTTTTGCAGAAAGATAAACATAGTCTGCATGTGTAGCTAAACAAGTGTCACCTCCTCCAGCTGTATTTCCTTCTGAGAAATTTGCTTGCCAAGCGAAACAACCAAGCGCTTGTGCTGCTGTACTGGACCAAGCCTCTCTGTCTTCTCTTCGCCTGCCAGCTCTGATTGCTGAAAAGAGAATTCAGAGTGTTAATCAGTATTCCAAGGAAGATGTAAAAATAGAATGTTATAACCGCGATAATGAAATGAAGCCATAGCTCACAAAACATATAGTAGAATCAAGTCTTGCATGCTTATACGATGGTTTCAACTATGAAAAGTAGCTTGTACTTAAGGTAAAAAAAACTACTAATTCCTGCAATTTAATGGAACCAACTTAAAAAATGTGATTGGGAAAACGTGTGAAAGTAGCTTAATACAGCAATTGTTTTGTGATACATATGTTGATATTTTACAACTAACCTGTCTCAAATTAAGTGTAGTAATTCAGGTGTAATTTTGACAATGTATGGAAAAGATATCATTAAAATGAAATCATGTAAATGGAAATATGTGAACCCTTAAAATAAATCAGAACTGTCAATTTGTTTTTATCATGTTATCATATGAAAATGAAAGTCCAAAATAAATACCTTTTCTGCATATTCTGAAGCAATCTGTTTGATCTCCTCTGACTGAAGACCAACAATTTGACCAACTGTGCTGGCTGTTAAACGCCCCTGAAACAAAAAATACAACGTAATGGTCATTTGACAATACTAAAATAATAAGCATAGTAAGTGAAATAAGGGTACCAAGTAGGAAAATGTGCTTCAAGTTAATACATCGCAAAACATATATTTATATGCGAATGCAGTTTAATATTTCGGAATACATACTTCCTCTGTTGCCATGGCAGCCATGCTGCTCATCAGAGTCTTGATGCGAATCTGTAAAAATAAAACAAAGCTGACCAAATCAATATTCAGTGGTTTTCAGTATGTATGATTATTGTACACACTGAAAAACACAAATAATTGGCTAGAAAAAAATTTCAATCATCAAAATGTACCATTTCATAAACTGCCACTCAAACTGCGTGAAACATGATTGTAACAGCTTCATGTTTTTTTGTTTTATACCGATGGAATATTTAAATCTCTAAATAGGACTTTCCTCATCAGCAGCCTGCAGCTCCTCTTCCTCGGTTGTCTGTGCTTTCCCTACTGCTGTGGCACCTGGCACAGATTTTTTCCGGTCATCCACCTAAAGCACACACGGCACATGCTGTGCATAACTACACATAATTCACATTTGCATTGCTTGACCTAACCATAATGCATTTAAAATGTTATACTTCCCTTGTAAATATGCAACAGAAGTTGTAAAAGTCATAAATACTGACAATTATTCTAATTTTTATGTATATCTTGATTTGAAGCTTTCGTGACTGCAGGAATCCACACTCTTTGGTTCTTTCGGTAAAGTCACATAGGTTTAAAATAAAATAAATCACGACGTTTCGATCGCAACACAAGCGGTCGTCCTCAGGCGGAAAAAAATATAATCCAGCAGTGGAACTGCTGAACCAGCGAGAGAGCTGTTACAACAAGGTTATGTATGTGTTGGTCTTCAGATAGAGTATTTATTAATTATATAATTCAGACAGTGGCAACTACAGACATACAAAAACAATACACTCACCTTCTCATTCTTGTTTTGAACAAAACAATACCTCCTGCAAAACGGGCAAAGGGTGGGCCTGGTTAAAGTAACCACTGGAAAAAGAGCGTTTCGGATGAAAGCGCACAATTATGACTAAAATGACAATTATTAAACGACAGCTTTCATTATGTGTCACCTGCACATTTTATATTAATGATCTAATGCGCTCAAGACATTTTTATTATGAAGTAATTCTATTCATTTAATCTTGCTTTATTTAATGATGCTATGTACCTATATGCTCACTCACTAATTACCTGCCATACTCTAGAAGCGTAGACTGCACACGTGACTCTTCATCCAGAAGAGAGTCTGTTCCAACTTGTCGCCGGTATCGTCTCTGGGGTTTGTATTCCTCCTGCGGATATCGGCGAGAAGGCGAGGTTAAAAAGGGAGTGCAAAGTGAAGTAGCTTTGTGAAGCATCTTACAATACACTCATGTAAAATTATATTTTATCACTGCGTACTGCATGCAGAAACTTACAGCAGCAGCTAGCAAAGCCATGATCGCCTTTCCCTTCCGCTCCAAAAATTCATCATCCTGACAAAAAAAAATGCAAAAAAAATATTTTTTAAAAACTTCACATGCATGTTTTAGAACGCTTAAATGGAATTCACAATTGATGAAATTCTTACCTCTGGAAGTCTGCGGCTCTTGTTAAACTGGGAGATGGAGAAAGCCCGAATGTGGTCGCCCGTTTCCTCTCGTGTCTCTATGGCCCTCTTCACCAACCACTTAAAAAAACACATTCCATTGTTTTTTATACAGTTTGTATAGATGCATGTAAAACTATAGAATGTGTTTCATAAACAAAATGAGACATTTATTATAGAAGGCGTTCACTTATGTTTTGGAAAAATATTAGTGGCAGAATGCCAAACGTTACAATCTTGTTAAAGTTACCTGGATAACAGGGAATATGTGTATGAAGTCTAAACCCTGGATTTGATGGGGTTCAATCCGATGAGGACACTTCATGCTCGGCAAAACAGACACTATCTTCTCGGTCAAGGCTCTGTGAAGAAATTACACAGAAGCAGCAGTAGCATTCAACTAGTAAAACTGTCTCGTGTCAAATTACTAAAAAATCTCATTTGTACAAACAGATGAATAACAAGGATCAATATCATTTAGCGAACTCATTTACATGTATTACATCAATAGCCTGACATTCACGTTTTAAATCTGGTTATGCTTTTCCAAACCTCACATCTTTTGGCCGATGGTGGAGTTTTCCTGGAAGAGCAAGTCAACATCAATGTCAACACTACACGTAGTGATGCACCATGTCATTCCTCCAACCACCTACAAACACACAACAATAACTTTAATGAAAGCACGTTTATTTAACGGTGGTTTCAATAGTTAACCAAACATAAATATTCCAGTGAGACATTTTTTGGGCAATAAATTATATTGTTTGTCAATTGTTTTTGACAGTTAAGTACTCTCGAAGCAAAAATACATAACTGGGTCTTGCATTTAGGATTTTTTT